GCTCTCTGGTCTCCCAGAATGGGGGGTTCAGGACTGCCAGCATTTCTCTCCCTATTTCCCACATGAAACATTTACCCCATGAGCCACATTAATGATGCAGGCAGAATCACTGCTGTGCCAGGTGTGCCGTGCACAGCTCCAGGAACTATTTCAGCTTTTGTTGAATGGGACACAGTACAAGCGGGTGGGTCAAACACACACTGGACCAGAGCAAGAAAAGTGCCTGGGAGGGTACCAAGCTCAGTAGTGGACTTGTTAAAGGTAAATACCTGAGCCAAGTTGTTAAGAGACGCCAAAAGTTCAAGATGCTCTTTTCTCTCAGAGCACAGCTGCAGTGCCTTTGATTATTCTCTCCTTTTGAATCAGGCACAAGAGCAGTGTGAGCAGTACATCAGTAAGTGTTGTGGGTTTGTCCAGCCCGGCCCTGATCTCAACCCTTCCTTACCCCATGGCCCAGTCAGTTGCTCTGGTGTTCCCTGTGGGTACAGCGGCTGTTTGGCTGTCTGGGGGCTGCAGGGGTGCCCCCCACCCGAGCAGGGGCAGCGGGGTGCGGGTGCGCGGGCGGACGCCGTACTTACAGCACGCAGAGCGCGTACGCCGAGGCAATGGACTCGCTGGCCCGCACAAGGAAGCTGCCATCCTTGCCTACTTTGGAGAGCAGGTCTTCAGCTCTGGAGCGAGTGATGTTGCCGTGGTACCAGCACTGATCCATTGCTGGAGCTGGAGGAAACCTGAATTCCAGTCCAGGAGCTGCCAGAGCTGCCTGTGTGTCTGTGTGTAACGATCAGCCAGCTTCAGCTCACCAGTTTCCTGTTTCAATAGTACAGAGAGGGAAAGGAAACTCAGCCACGGACAACTTCCTCAACTCAAACAGCTCAGAGAGTGAGCGTGACATGTTCCTGCAGCCCCCGCTCTCCTTTTCATGCTGCAGCTGAAGTGACTTGCAAGCCCATGCTCCCTGCCTTTCCCGCCCCCTTCATGTCAGAAAGTCCCAGCTGGGCATCTCTTCTGCTCCCTCACACATTCAGTCCCCCAGGCTCTGGTGGCCTGCTGTCCCATTTACGATCTCTTGTCAGACCCTTTGAATTTTCATCTTTTTCCTGTCTGTCTGTCCTACCTGCTACAGGGCTCCAAGGGGAATAAATCAATCTCTGAGCAGAAACACACTGTGCAGTAGGATACTGAGCACTGACTGCCCCGTTCCTGCCTTGACTAGTCCTCATAGGTAGTTAGGTATGAGGAGGGGACTTCAAAGACCTGAACAGAATAAAATTACTACTGCACATTGCCACGCACAGCAGACTGAGGGGCTGATTTGTGCTGGGGATTTGTGACCAAAGCTCCCTGTCAGCTACTGTGAGATGAATTCAAAGATCTTTCCTACTCTAAATCCCTGAAGGTGGGATGGAGCAAAGCTGTGTCTGGCAACCTGCGTCAGAGAGGGAAGAACTGGAGTTTTCAGTTCCCTTTTCTTGGTGTGTACATCTGTCCCTCAGCTGTGCTGAGTGGCTGCTCAGTGCTGTATCTCCAAGGCACAGCACAGGGGACACGTTTGCAGCAAACCAGGACATTGCTACAGGGGCACTGTCCGTGAGGGAAATTTGGTTGCTCTGCCTTGGGAGGCAGCACTTCTGCACATCCACATTTGAGCTATACCTAAAAGCAACAGATGAGCTCAGCCTCTGCCTTGCAAGTTCCCAGGAAAGGCACAGATCCTGCTAGCCCTATGCAACCCTTGCTTCCCAGAGCCAGGAGAAGTACTAGAACAACAGTACCTGGATCATGGGCACAGCATGGACAGCAAGGCAGGAGAGAACAGATTGTAACTGCATAAGGAGAGGCTAGAATTTGTGGGTAAGGAAAGAGAGTGAACCTGGCACAACCCAGCATTCATCCCTGCAGGCCTTCCTGGTGCTTTCAGTTCACCAGAAACCTGCCCTGCAGCGTCCAGCTTGACCTCTGCCTTTGAGATGAGGCTGTGGGCATCAGCAGCTCAAAGCTGTGTGGCCAGAACAGCGCCCTGCTAAACGAGCAGAACTGCACCGTGCAGGGCTTCCTGACCACGCTGAGCAAGCGCTGCCTGCAGACCAAAATTAGCTCAGCTGGACCTGACCTTCAGCTTCGCCCAGATCCACACAGGGCTTCACGAGACAAACTGCCATGGATTCATTCGGGAGCCTAAATGCAGGCAGATGCTGATTGCCATGAAGTGGCTGTGCATGGCAATGGCTGTAAGCTACAGAGGGGTTACAAACCCTGTTCTCCACACCGGGAGGGGTGTCTGCACGTGGCGAGGGAACCATGAGGCTCCTCGAACAGCCCTGCCTGCCCACAGACCACTGCTAACCTCACCTGCACCAACTGCCTGGGATTTCTGGCACCTCCAGGAGCTTCTCTGGAGCACAGCTGCGGGAAGAGACAGAACAGCTCTGAATGTTAAACCACTGCTTGGCCTCTCAGCGCTCTCCATGCAATGCACACGTATTTGGATGCCGAGTGGACGGAGCTGCTGATTGCCCAGGAGTTTTGCTGGAACGAAACTGTGTTTGGAAAGCTTCTCCTGATCTTCTGCAAGCTAAACAAAGTAACAGGTACAACCCCTGGTTAGACATCTAATTAGTTGTTAGACAGACTAATTAAGGGAATATTTAATTCCTCTCCACCCCTCCACCAACTTCAGTTTTTAGCTGCTGTTATTTCTTCAAATCCCTTGTCCAGCCACACATAACTCCTTTACTTTGACACATAAACAAAGGGAAGGGATCCAAATACATGTGATGATTGTGGCAATTGGATGTGCAAGCTGGTTTCTTTGAGTATTTCTTAGTTCTAAAAGAAAGCACAATACAGCCCCAGCTGCTCAAAAGGTGAATCCCAATCCCCTAACAGCTCTATGATCCCTGATGGCTCGTTAGCTTGAAATAATATCCTATCTCTCAGACACTGCAATAAACTGGTTTTGCTACAGATGTAGCAGTATTTTACCAGCTGGCTCTCAACCACCATCCTGTCCAGAACTAGTAAATAAATACTGTCTGTGGAAGATGTACAGTGGTCACACAACCCCCACGTATAGCCAGCCTGTCCAATCTGCATCATCATGGGAACTGCCAGGCTTGGCTAGAGAAAAACTTCTTAAACATGCATTTCCATGTCACGAAACAAAAGTATTCCATAGTACCTGAGGAGGAGGTTAAATCTATAGGACAGCAGGTAGATTTGTTGAATATACCATTACCTCATCAGGCATCAGTGACAGGCTGTTGGCCACAAAGGTGCATTTAGGCTCTGGCCTACATCTGAAGAGCATATGAGTAATCCCCACAAAGTACTGGTTACCTGAGCTACTCTGCTATGCCAGCCCAGCACGTTACTGACCTGCTGCTTGGGAAAGGCTTGGCAAATTACAGGTTATCTGAAAAGGTCACCAGATCTCATTACTCTCTTAGTACCTGCAGCCTCCAGGTGCCCTGAAACAAATTTACACAGTGAGAAAACTCAGGGCCCCTTCCCCCACCGCCCCTGCAAGCTGTCAGCAGTAAAAGTACAGGGTAGGGGCACTGAGCAAGCAGAGACTTGCAGACCTGAGCAGTGACAGTGCCAAGGATCCTATGGGATTTGCTAGTGTTTCTCAAAGGGGATGTGTTCTGAGAGTGCTCTGGAAAGCAGGTGTTGTTCTGCACCAACAGAGCAAACAAACATATTTTCCTTGCAGCCATCCCACACGTGCACACACACAGGATACAGCACCCAGCAAACAAGCACAGACTCGTTCATAAAGCAGAATTTTGTCCAGAGGCATAGGTAACACTTTCCTAGCTCCACCTGCTCTGACATGTCTCCCTTGGTACCCATTCATTTCTGGTGGGTTCCTTGTCTGCTCTCTGTACAAAGCCTCCTTTCAAACCACACTGGAGCCTCAGAAATAAATAGTGTCTCTCTAATCAAAACTAGAATGGTTTCCTTCAGAAATCTGCTGAAAATCTGCCTGTAGTGGAAAGACGTCCAGTGTAAGTGTTCTCGTGCTGTTCTGGGCTTGGTCAGGTGCCCTCCCTCCGACACAGGTGCTTATTTGCTGGAAGGGGGGCAATGTTATTAGTTTGACACACTGCCCCATATGCCAGTAACACTCTGTAATAAAAAGACATGGGGTTGTCAGCGACAGAAGCAGTAGCTGAATGGATCATACTTGTGTTAGAAAGACCAGCAAGCATTTCCCCTCCTGACTCTAAATTGGGAGCTCCCTCTGCAGACCTGTCCTGATCCTGCAGTTCCAATAGAGGCAAAATGCCATTTCGGCCACTTGTCCTGTCCCCAAACGTGGAAGGGTCCTGGTGTCCTCCGTGACTCCGACTGCCACTGCCCAGGCAGAGGGAGCAGCCAGAGCACACAAGGCTCTGGTTTTCTTACAGAGAAACTGCAGCTTCTCAGTGCAGTGCAAGCAAAAGGGCCAGTAAGCAAGGACACAGCATGGGAAGTAAGGAGAAGGTTCAGTTTGACAGAAGTCCCTGGGGTGCCTGGGAACTCAGCAAGGCAACCCCAAATGAACTGCAGAAGTGGGCAAGGAATGTCCCCAGAGCAAGACATCACATAGCCCTGCTGAAATAAGGAGCCAGCAAGCCCTGAAAGTTTGAGGTGCCAAATTCCCACGCTGTCTGCAAGAAGCAGTACTCCTAAGCAGAGCCAAAGCAGTGTCCTGAAGAAGGTGACTCCAGATTACCTGGCAGTAAGCCCAGTGCCCTCTCTAGAACTTTCCCCACAACGTACTAAATACACTCAGCATAAAACTGCTGCCATCTGTTCCCAGGCAGTCCCTAGGCTGTCAGCAGTGGTACATTGATCCAGTCTATTGGAGACCTCAAGGTGAGAAGCCCCATATAAAGGTCACACTTGGTTTGGGCACAGGATGTGTAAAAAGACAACCAAAGGAAAAGGCAAAAAGGGAGAACAGGCAACAGAAAACAAACCCAAACACGTTAAGTTTTAGTACATTTAATAGGCTTCATAATCTACAGACGCCGCAAGCCAACGCCAAACTAAGTGTGCAGAAGGAGTACAAAAACCTCCTGCTCAAAGATGAGAAGTGACAAGGAAAAAGATCAGCAAAGGTGATGTTTGGAGGGATGCTGATGGAAAGGCTTGATACTCAAAACTCAGAGGGAAAGGCTTGCTTCAAGGTGAACATGACAAAGATCATCTCTTCACACTGCCGGCGGGTCCCGTATTCAAAGAGGCAGGAGAACAAGGGTGAGCCATCGGGCCCAACACCCATGTACTGCAGATCCGAATAAGCACACAGGCCCTTGAAGAGGATGCTAGGTTTTGTCCAGTGTGCTGGATTTAAAGGGCTTTTGTTGAGGTAAATTCCTAAATCTTTTCGACCCTTTGGGTCTGTAGGGTGAGCATAGAGTAACCAACTATCTTGGCACCTGGCATCAGGGGGAGGTGGAAAGGCAGTAACACTTCCATGGCATCCAAAGGGAGGTTCCACCAGCATTTCAACCCGCTGGCCTCCCTCGAAGTCCAGCCCGTGGTTGTAGCTGATGGCCTGGACTCGGGCTCCCCTGGTGCTCCTCGCGTTGCAGTACAGGACCCTCCTGCCACAGGAGTGCACCTCCGCTACCTGGCACTCCACCGCGCTCTCCTCGCCCACGAAGTTGCCCAGCTCCCACGTTGTGCCGTGGTCAGAGCTGATGAAGCAGAAGGCATGAGGGGTGGGGTGTTGCTTCGGGTCCAAGATACGATAGGCATAGGCAGGAATCACCAGGCTCCGGGCCTCGTTGAGCAATTGTAAGCCGTGCCCCGGCCCCACCGCAAACGTGGCCCAGTTCTTGTACTCGGCCCTGATGGTGCTGTCGGTGACATCCTGGGCAGTGCTCCAGGTGCGCCCTTGGTCCATGCTGGTGACGTAGCAGAGGCGTACCAGGTTAATCTTTGTCCTGAGCTGATGCTGCTCAGAGATCTTTCCTGGGACAGCTATGAAGAACAGGATCAGTTTCCCTGAGACCTCATCGTAAACCGGGCAGGGGTTCATAGATCGGTGGTCTTTCAGCTGTGCAGTGACAATGGTCTCCATGTTATTCCACTGCCAGGGCCCACGTGAAGGGAGACAAGAATGAAACACACCGTTACAAAGAGATCCAAGTTATAGTGCAAGGATGCCTGGATAAAAGTTACAGAAGAGCACGGGAAGAACAGAAGAGAAGCAGGTTAGAGGATAGAGCAAGAAATGGGAGAATAATAATCTGGCATCACCAAAGGTAAGTGAAAATTCTTTGGATGACACAAAGCGCATGCACGTCACCAAGCAGGTGGGTTATGTCCTTTTTAATTACTGCTCCCTGAGGAGCACACACAGCTCCACACCTCAGTGCAGCTGGTGGCTGATGACACAGTCTGAAAAGCTACAGAGGCTGAATTTTCAGAAATTCTCACAAATACGTATTTGACACAGACATGCCCAGTAGTCAAAGTGTGCTGGTACAGACACGGTGCTGTGTCAATGCCTCTTAGGAGGTCACAGAGGTACCCGAGCCCTTTTCAAGTATCCTGGATGTTGACAAATTCCTTTCCATTCAAACTCCTATTCCTCCATGTGATCCATATGTGAATGGGCATCCCAGCCTACACTGAGGCCCCTTGCTGGGCTGATTGCATGGCTTTACACGCTCTGGTATGGAGATCTGGGCCCTGAGCTGTGCAATTCAGAAAACAGGTCACAGAGCAGGTATAACTACCCTGCAAGCCCTGTCTTTCTTTAAATGACAAGCACATAACACAATCACATTTCTAACACTAACATTGCTATTAGAAAATTATGCCTACATAGTGTTATGGGCTTGGTAAAAGAAGCAGTGGTTTCCAGTAAGATTACATTAATTAGCTTTTCTGCCCTGAGTTGCTGATTACCCTTTCTGATCATGTTTTCTCTTTGTCTGTTAAGCCTATATTAACTTTTCTTGAATATTTAATATTTCCATTTTAAGAAAATCCAGCAGGTGAACACAAATGACTAAGTTTATGACCAACAGAGCCCTACTTAACTGAATTACAGAGAGTTACACAAGATGCAACCTGAATGATCTGACACTGCAGATGTGCTCAGAGGCTGCTTCTGCAAGGCAGAATCCAGCTGTTAGGAGTGTACAATCTAAGACAACCAATGAAGGTTTGGAATACAAAAATATAATTACTTCCCCCCCCCCCCCCAGACATTTATGCCTTTGCAAATGCAAACAAATTACTATAAATAGAATATCCACCACCCCCAGCCACCCATCAGGATAATAATAATAACTGGTAGGTTAATAAAGTAACCAATTCCCTGGCACCAACACACCAGACAACACTCTTTTGCGTGGGGAGACTGGCTGTTCTCAATTGTTTCTTAAACCAGAAATTAGTATTAAGATGAGGAATTAAAACCAAAAAAAATAGTAACTGATCGCTAATTTACGCCTCCCTGTCCTTGTGCCACTCCTGATTTCTGCCTCTCCTCCACATCTTGGCTGCCACAATAGGACATTTTATCTCCTCTCTCTGCCTGCATCCCCATACCCGGTGATGGATCCAAAGCCACTCCCAGAGTATCTGCTGCACCTGCTCCCTGTCCCCCCACCAGCGCCTGCTCCCGGGGTGCAATCCCAGCAGTTACAGCAACACTTGCATTATTTACTGGCAGACTTGTCTCCTTTAATTGGGGAGGAGAAGCTGCCCTGTCCCTCCTGCAGGAATACATTGAAGTCCTCTGGAGCCACGTGAGCAGCGCAGGTGGGCAGTGTCCCCGCTCCCTCCCCACACCGGTACCTGGACGTGGTGCGAGCTGGGGTTGTACAGGCCCCTGCGCATCGCTATGAGCTTGGCATGTTCATCCACCACGTCCTCCCGCTCCTCAGCAAAGGCCAGGATCATGCTGAACCGGGGCAGGTAGAGAAGGGCTGGAATGCGATAGCTCCAGGTACCGTTCCGGAACAACGTCTCTTGCTCCAAGACAGGGAACGAAGCCATTGTGCTGGAGGGAAGAAGACAAAGCACATTGCATTTTGACCCAGCAAAATGTGATGGGGCACATTCCACTGCTTTTTGCTCTCCTTGGTCAGTGGGGCCTGTCCTGCATTGTAACAATTTGTGCTACTTTCAGCTCTGTCTTTTTCTTCTGCTTTTCCAAGGAGAACCTGCGTGTATCAGAGTAGCTGGAACCGAGGCCGGACTTACCCCAGGAGCAGCCTGGTTGATATGGCTGGAGTGTCACAAGGCAAGTGCACTAAATACAGTTAATAAAAAAGCTGTGCTTTGTTTTGCCTTTTTAATTAAATTCACAGGCTGGGACTTTTGTGGGTCTCCTCTGTAATTCAGAAGACTGTTGATAATAAGACATTGTAGTACTTTCCCTCTGAAGACCATTAATGTCTCTGGTGATGGTGTATCTAAAACCTGGCATAGAACTTCTGCTTTGCTAAATATGAGTTTAAAATTTCCTATAAATGACACAGTGAGGCAATCCCTGACCTCAGCTGTGCCCCAGCTTGGGGATGATAAGCACTGAGCATGAATAAATAAAGAAAGAGAACTTCCCTCCTTCTATAAGATTAAAGAACAGTCTGAATGGTGTCCCACAGCTTTGGATGGCACTTCTGACCAGGTGAAAACCTCGTCCTCTTTACAGTGACTTAAAAGCAATGTCATGAAGGAAAGCAAACACGAGGGAGAATTTAGGGAAGCTGCCTCTGTGTAACTGGTCTGTGCTATGCCCCACACAGTTTCTGTTCCTCTCCTGAGACCCAGTCAGCCCTCTGTCCTCTTGCACTGAGCTTCTTCTGTGAACCAACCTACCCCAGCAAAAACCCAGTGGGCTTGAGGGAATGATCTCTGAGGAGATGGGGGCAAAAATAAGAAAAAAAAAAAAAGAAAAAGAGAAAAGGAAAATACATTTCTCTGACATGATGCGCCAGAAACCGAAAGCTTGGATATCCCTTGCTCAGCAGGGAAGGGGAGAAGAAAAAAAAGAGAAAAAAAATATTAAAAAAATCAAGCCTTAGATCTCTGACACATTGAGTGGGTAGGATGGAAAGGAGAAGATGACAATACACTATGAGTAAGAAATTCAAATGCCTCCTACCTCAGCTGAGGCAAGACTTGCTGCACTCTTCATTGAGGATTCTCCTATTTATCCAAGTCTTGGAAAGTGCTATAGGAGCTACTGGACATGGATCAGATCCTGGTGTTTTTGAAGGCTGCCTTGGTAATTCAGGACCAGCTATGGAGGCAGCTGCAGAGTGGTATATTCCTACCTGGAGAATAGTTTGCACTCTTCCATGGTTAAGAGGAAAGCTGGTATTAGCCAGCATAACTAACACAGACTAGGTCCCCAATTTGGTTAAATTGTTTTGTTTCGCAGTGCTGATTCCTGAGGTAGGACAGCACAGACAGGCTGAGTTCATCCTCCTCAGACAGCACTATCACATTACACTCTCTCCAGATCCCCAGCCAGACAGGGAGTGTTTCCTTGCTTTTGCCTTGCAGATGCTATAAATACCAGTGAGATCTGAGCTCACAGCGTTGCTCAGCAGGGTCTGAACGGCACTGTTATAGCTAAAGCGATCTGTACAGCCTCCAGCCCCACAGCCCCACTGCCACTCAGATCCAAAGCCACTGCAAAGGGAAGTTCATCTCCCAGGAGCAGCTGCTCCCTCCTCACTGTCACCGACTGTCACCTCACCGCTGCTGTACAAAACATTTCCAGAACTGGTTCCCAGCTATCCAGGCAGCGACGTGGAGGAAGCAGGAAGACCTTCCTAGAACAAATAGTTGTGCTGTTCACTTCTTCCCAGCATGGCTGTGGCTATTTATACAGCCCACAGCCGTGGCTATGTGCTCATGGCTCCTGAAACAGAACTCACCAGCGTGCTTCCAGACTATTTAAAGGGAGATTATTTAAAGGGAATTAGTCAGCCTATCTAGTGCAGCACAGGTTCCCTGGTGTTCCTGCTCATGGTACTGCAGTCTGCCATTCTGATACTGCAGTCCTGCTTCAGGGCAGAGAAAGAGGGAAGGAAAAGAAAAAAAAAAAGAAAAAAAAAAAAAGGAGAGGTAGAAAGAGAAAGAGAGATCTGGGCTGCCCCATGAAGCCCTTGATGAAAATCCAGAGCAGTGGCACAGGAGGCCATGCTGCACCTGAGTCCCCTCCATGGGAGCCTGTCACCTGCAGACACCTCTGCCCACACTCTCAGCCCTCCCTGACACACTCAGTGTGAGTGTCACAACACTGTTCCCCTTATTGCCAAATGGGGATTGAGGAACTCACTGAACTGGGAATAGCTACCATAGAAACAAGCCTGAGGCTCCTGGACACTGCACCTGCAACTATGATCAAGGAAAATACTGGAACCAAGTGACTTTTCTATCTATCCAGAGACTAAAGGGAGATATGTGTGAGTGTGTGTGTCTACACACATAAACACACACCTGTATATGTGCTCCCCACACACAGCATGGCTCTTATGGCTGGATGCATGTATATGCACACCGTGTATCCATCTGCAGAGAAACTCTTCCATCCTTTTTTAAGCAGTTAAAGTCAGTATTCAGCTTCTCTTGCCTTCTCCCTTGTGGATCCTCAAGCAGAAATTGAGTCATAACAGTTTGAGTTTCACACAGAATCCAAAATGCAGGATCTTTAAATAAACTTGAAGTTCTTAATATTTATATATTAAAGAACAAAATAGAGCTGGTTTTAGTTACTTCTCCAGCCAACTGACAGGAATTGATATTTCTCTTGAACTCTACCCATTTTCAAAGGCAAACCCACTAACTACACCCTCCTGAATAAAAGAGAAGTAAAATTGGCAAATCGTTGACAGGACAGCCACAGGAAGAGTGTTCCAAAGCTCATCCTCCAGCACTGCAGGAATTCAAATCAGACACACCAGTCCCTCCAAGGCTAAATTGCCAGAGTATGCACATAGCCACGCTGCTGCTCCTAAACCCTACAGAAATAGCACTGCCTGGTCTGCAAGGAAGAAGAGAGTATTGCAGCCAGCATGACCCAAGGGCACGGGCAAAGTTTGTAGATCACAGCAATATCTTTTGAAATACCAAAAGCTGTAACTGGGGGGGAAGAGGGGGGAAGATAAACTTCTGGAACACAAAGGCCTGAAACACAAGCAGGAGACTGGAGAGCTGTACACAAGAAGACAAAAATTGCTCAGATCTGTATCAACTCAGTGAGCTTGGGAAGAAGAGTTAAGGTGTACTTTTGTGAGGTAAAAGAGTGAGAAAGATAAGTTTTTCCTAGGAGAAAAGAACATAGCTCCTCAGCTCTACACAGGTGACAGAGGTGCTGGTGGGGACAAGGGAAATTTATCTTGCATCCATTAAGCCAGTATTCCCTTCTGCATTTTGCTATTTACTGGAGTGTTTAATTCATTTCCCAGGCTTATCCCTGCCAAGTGTCCTATTGAGGGAGAATGATGTTTACCTGCAATTCCTCTCCAAGGCACGAGGGAAGCTGCTGCACCGAGATCCAGGACCTCACCGCCGGGCAGGACCAGGCAGGCAGGGAAGGATGAGCACAGTGCAAACACTAAGAGAAGGATGAGTTAAACTGGAGGAAGCCATTACTCATAGTTTGCAAGTTACACAGCTGTAATGATTTCCAAAGCAGAGTCTGTTTCCAGCATGCCAGAAGAGTCAAAAAAAACCCAAAAAAAACCCCAAAAAAACAACAAAAAACCACAGTTGTCAACAAATGAATCTATGCTGGATCTAATGCCTGGAAAGAGCCCAAGTGGCAGTAAGGGATAGGTGCTGGCAGACGTCAGGAGAGGGTACTTGTTCTTTCTCATCTGTCCTTCAGGGCAGCTCACATGGACTTGTCTATAGAGCAGGATGAGTCCTTGCATGTTTGTTTGCTTTACCCCTCTCCAAGTGACTAAAAACAATAACATTTCCACTGGCCTCAGCTTCTGTAAGAACCTGTTCTTAACATGTTCAGATCCACGCTGAAATGACAGCGTGTCTTTAAAAACAGTCCAGCAGAGATGAGGTAATATCCTGAACTCTATCCCTTGGTCCCCATCAGAGAGCTCTACACTCTGTGCAGCAGGCAGCTTGTTCTTGAATGATTTCAGGTAGGTCCCAAAAACACAGACAACCCATTCAGGGAGGGGCTGGGGGGAAAAACACTAACAAAAAACCCCAGAGAGAGCCAAATGCAAAACCCAACTAAAACTCTGCTTTGCAAGGTAAGCACAAGAATTCAAGATGAATTGGATTCTTGTGCTTACTCAACATCAGACCTGGATTTACAGTGTTTTCCAAATGTATAAAGCGTTTCAACTAAGCATTATGCTGAAACACATTCCCTGTTTCACTTAGAGGAAGATAAGGCATTTCCCCTGGGATATTGCATTGAGGGCTCCCAGGAGTAGCCACGTTGCAGTTGTACAGGACTAAGAAACAGCAGCCCCGGTTTGCTTCTCGACTCCCTGCTCCACAGGGTATTCCTGTGTGGAAGCCTTTCCTCCCTGCTGAACAGCCTGGCTGTGCCTGTTTCTGCCAAGTCCAGCACTGGAGTGCTCCATCCCCAGCCTGCTCGTGCCCTTAGACCAGATCCCACACTAAATCTAGGCTGTAGAAATTCGTAACAAGCAGGCAACACACATTTATTTAGTGCAATAAAGCACCCTCAGTGTAAAGTCAGAAAGATGTTATCAGTGAAACTGTCGAACAATAAACCTTAAACAAACTAAACCATTCGGAATTCAAAACTGAAAAAAGACAGAAACCTGGAATTACTTTAATCCAGCAGCCAGTTGGATTAAACTTTTAAACCGCACTAGAAACAGAAAGTTTCTCTTGTGGTAAAAACTTCATACCACATTAACATGGGGATTTTTAGGCTCCCCAGTACGTGGTCTCCTAAACAATCGACCAAGTTCTGTTCTCAAACTGTTGTGGCTCAGCCTGGCAATATCTCCTGTGCCCCAGAGTGGAGGTTTTCTTAGCACTAGAGAGGAATTACATGAAGCAGCAGTATTTTTCTTAAAATATGTTTCTTGGAAGAATACAAACTGCACTCCTACTTGAACCTCCAAAATGTTGTATTTACCTTTTTAGTATCTAGCAACGTCCTTGTTATGAAAAAAACTTTGGTTTTGTTTTTGTTTTTTAAAAAAAAAGGAAAAAAGAAAAAAAAGAAAAATAAATACCTTTTTCACTCTGTGTCTCCTGGAAGTCACGTCAAAAGGAAAAAAAAAAAAAAAACCAACAAAACCACCGGAACCAAAAAGCACTCCTATTGGAGTAGATAAAAGGGAGGCTCACCACACTCTTACCAACTAGTCTCCAACCTGCAAAATTATTTATGTTGGCAGCAATGTCAGCTGTCTTGGATCCCCAAGAAAACCAGAAGCTGGCATGTGTACACAAGCTGATATTTAAATAGCAAACCTGCTTTGCATATAAGGGGCGGGTCCATGTGAGCTGGACAAACAATAGGGAAAGACTTCTATATTATCATAGTTATTAAGCAGCATATTTCTACCTGCATGGCATTGACAGCACTGTGGAGCAGCTGCTGTTCCTAATGGTTATACAGTTCCTGTGCTGTCTTATTTCTTGTGCCTCTTCTGTCCTGGGGCTGAGGATGGCAGTCCCTCTGGTCCCAGTGCTTCCTCTCAGAGTGATCCTGAGCCCTGGGAAAGTTTGCCAAAAGACCTCAGAAAAGGGTTCTAACCAGCAGGTGACAGTGCTGTGATAATGCAGCATTCCTCTCCTGGCTCCACATACCTCCAATCCATCAGCAGGTTTTTTCTGGATGGATTAACACAGGGGAACCCAGGCAGCGATACAGGAGTGACGTGCTGGTGCAGGCAGGTGCAGTTCCCAGAGCCTCTGTGGAGGTGTTCCAGGATCAAACTATCCCAGTAGCTGCAGACACTGAGCTACGGGGCAGAGTCAGGCAGAGGAACAGAGGGCAAAGCACAGCCTGGGGTCACAGCTGAGCAAGAGGAGGAGGCAGCACCTCTTCTCCCAGCTGTGCCCTGCCTGAGAGCCTCTAAGCTGCACTTGCAGCTGCTGGGAGTACCCAAGCAAATGATTTCACCACTACATGTGTGACTGCTGCCAGAAAGGACCTTTCCTAGCTCATTCATTGCTGCATCCCCTGCTTTCTCCTCTTCTCTGCTGTGTTTCCATTGCTGCCATTAACACTTCTTGTCTTTGAAGTGATCTGAAAAAATGAAAATAACAATCCTGCAAACAGGTCTTGGTAGTAATGACAAGAGAGGAAGACAATCTCTTTAGCTGATGGCAGCTGTGGTTGATCTGTGCAAGCCAAAGAGGGAGTTGCAAAGGTGTGGATTTACAACCAATCTGACCACTTCAATTAATGTAATGCTTCTGTATTGTTCTCCTTCCTCTCTCTTGAGCAACCCTGTATCCCTTCTTGTGCCAGCTCGAATGCTCATCTTACCCTGGCAAGCCATCAGAGGATATGAGTCTGGCAGAACACTAATCCATTAAAAAAAAAAAGTGAACAGTTTCTGCTAGGTCATCGTCCTGGACTGCGTCAGCAAGAGTCAAACAAGCAGCAGAATCTGCAGTAGGAGCAGGAGCACGAAGCTGTTGACAGGAGGAGCAGACTCTCCTCCCAAACTGGCACTTAGCCATCGGAGCTAATTAGCTGCCTCATAAAACCACACCCCGTGTTTATGAACCTTGCCTAACTGGGCAAGTGAAGTACTGCCTTAACTGGGGCACCCCCGAGAAGCCCGAAGGCATTTGTATCTCACTGCTTTACCTGGAATCGAGCAACAATCAATGTGAGGAGAAGTCCCTGCTGAGACAATGGCGTTGATATCCACCAGGTATTAACTTTCAACAGTGACTCCTGGAGAAAATCCAAAGCAGAAGCAATTCATGAAGGAGGCTTCTGAGGTGCAGTTTGCCAGAATGCCAGACATGAACGATTGCTTTATGGATTTCTTCACCCTTTTTCCTCTCCCTGGCTAGCAGCAGTGTTACTTGGGTGATTTTCTGAGTCACACACTTGGCTGCTGCAGCCAGACAAGCCATACTCATTTGTTTAATAGAAATCCCCTTGCCCAGCTGCAGCTTAAAACTGATTGTCATCTCTTCTGAGTGGACATCCCAGACGTGACTTGCTGTGGTGGCAGCGGTTTCATGGGCTATGGTGGCAGCACACACACGGCAGAGTGGCTGTGCCTCAGGCCACCTCTCATCTCCCTGTATCATCTCTTCCTTTCCCAGCAGGATCCCACACACTCCTCTGCAGCCAGCTGGGGAGCCCTGCCTTCGGCACACTACACTGCCCAGGACAGGTGTCAGACGTGGCTGTGCAGAGGCTCAAACTACTCCCAAAATGAAGAATGTGTTGCTTAGTCCTGCAGGGATGTTAAACTGGGTGAACCACAGTGCCTGTGCAGGGCAAACCCCCAGTCAACATGGGCAGGCTGTGCTGCCTCCCTGCACAGTCAGCACCAAGCACTGTCAGCATCCAGGCTCCAGCACTGCTCTTCAGCCCTTACCACCAGTTCCTTAGCTGCAAAACCCGTCCTTGCTGATAAAAGTGCTTTTTCAAAACAACCTGTTGTGTGCTGCAACTATTCTACAGAACTGTTCCTTGTTAACTATCAAAAGTGGATGTCCCTCTGTAGATGTGCACAGCTCGATCCTCCTTCTTTCCTTTTGGTGTAAATCAGAACCAATGTCACCAGTGAAGTTTAAAAGTGGTTTAGGTCTGAGGAGGATCAAGCTCTTCAGTTCTATTGTTCCACGCTTACTTCATTGCCCTTATATCTGATTGTTGTAATGAAAACGTTTTTAAAAAGGTTAAAAAATGCAAATGGGGTGTGTGGGTGCATTAATAAGAGGATATAAAAATAATGCAGAATATAATATAATGACAGAATCCTGAACAATGGAGCGTTTGAATTTGGAGGGCCACGTTCACTTTCGGGTGCCAATTCTTAGGAAAGATACAGCAATAGCTGCAAATGGAGGCTGAGGAAAAGAGTTCAGAAGCTAATGCTTGTGAGAGTATGTGAAAAGCAATTAGCAGGAAAACAAGAGATGGTACATTTAGTGAGTGACACCTAGTCCATTGAAAATTATCACTGTATATTTCCCTTGCAAAATGTTCAAACCTGAGCCCACTGAGTCCTGGCACCATGAAAAGGCAAGGCAGGCCCAGGGAATTCCAGATTTTCGATGGGTGGTGCAGTGTGGCTGCTGTCGTGGGGATGCTGTTTAACAGCCCAGGAGGTCTGTGGGCTCAGACCGTGCGAAGCACCAACCACACCTTGTTGCACATTGCAGTTCAAACACCATGGGCTGCTTTCCAGGCACTGGGGAATAGGGGGCAGAAGATAAATCCTACAGACCTGAGCTCTGACTGGAAGTCTGCTCGGTCAGGGGAGGGAAAAAAAGCAAACAAGGTAATAATAATTATGAATAAAACAGGCAGATGTTAATGGCAGAGCTCTTTGGCAAATAGAGTTCACTGGACAAGGAAACATTCACTGTTTTCTTTTAATGCCAATTCTAACTAAGGAAAAGAACCTCTGAGCACATTTGAGACCAGCACCTCGCTATCCTTATCAACTGTAGGAGCAGCAGGCAGGAGGAGCAGGTACTCACTGGGCACCGTTCACACCCCACTGACTCCAGTTACGTTACTGTTGATTTCCATGAGGAGGAGTAAGCACAGGATCCTCTGCCGAGGTCTCTCTCCCACTAAGTCATAGTCTTTCAAAACTTATTTCCTCACCTTGTGGAAAAAAATTGGACTAAATCAAAAAATAGTCCCTGAACCCAAAGCATAACAGCAACACTCCACAGCCTGTAAGACCTGTGAGCCTTCTGACTTTCCACGGTGAGTCGTGGGTTTGTCACAGGGGAGCTGCCTTACCCTGGGAGAGACAACACCCAATAAACAGCCTGCCCATCATACACATTATATTTTTCCATTTACTTTGCCCATTTGGAACAGAAAAAGAAATAAAAGTACTTTATTTTTGCAATAAACTGAATGGCACAATCTATGGGAAGCAAAGGAAGAGAGGTGGTAGGATTTACACACAAAAAGGGGACTGTAGAAGTAGGATTTATTTAGCCTCAAAATAACAACACTGAGAAGGAGTCACTGGAGCAATTTACTGGCTGGAAAAAGCAGTAAAACCAGAGTCCCCTGCTTCATATAGTCTGCAGTGCTGGGACACTCAGATAAGCCAGTCTGAAGCACAAGGCTAGCTAGATTCACCCTGGGCAACTCTTGCAACAGAGAGGAGCCCGAATTCCACGGCATTCCACATTCCCCAGTCCTGCTGGCTCTCAGACCAGGAGTGCACAGGTCTGATGGTGACCTTGATTAATCATTACAGCATTAATTGCTGGCAGCCCTCTATGGCCAGGCCCTCCCCTGATATAAAGGGACACTGACACTGCTGACCATGAAACTGTGATGACTGAGCCCAGATTAACCCAAGCTTAACTCAGGGAACATGTGGCTTTCCACACTCTAGGCTGGGCACACAGCTGCATTTTAAAAGGAATAGGGTAATGTTGAGACCAGTTAATATATTTTGAGATGAACAAGGGACTTGGCAAGTTCAGTGAACTTCAAAAAGAAATAAAAAACAAAGGAAAGACTAGCATCAAATTCAGCATGAGATGTGATGCTTCTTGTCAGAGTCAATCCAACTGCAGGCTGAAAAATACCAAGTGAGTTATCCGAGGATGAGGGAAAACTTCTTTCCTAAGTATAGCACTGCACAGGTATCAACAGCAATCACAGACTTGTTTGTCTTCCTTTGAAGCACTGGGCCTAAGCTGCCCCCAGAAGAGGGACATTCAAATCATAGCAAGCAAGCAACTTGAATAAGAAATCAAATTATTTCAGGGGAGAAAATTATAACAGGCATTTGGATGAACTGATCCAAAAGGCCTTAAAATAAAAACAGGTTGGTACTGCTATATCTGCCCCAGTGCCCAGGTATGTGAATACGCATGAAATTAAGAGATGGCAATCTAAAAATAGTCATAAACATTTAGGTCTTTTCATCTCAACTGGCTGTAAATAATGTAAAGCAAGAGCAGTTTCTGAGCCAGTGGGTCTTAAAAGTGTAAGCAAATGCCATTTACTGTTTCCACTTATTTGAGTTTTCATATTTGGACTGAAGTTTCACCCGGTTGTTAAAGATTTATATGGGAGGTTTAACAATGCCCTGTCATTAAGCCTTGGCACAAGCGGTGCAAAGGACATTCGGGGCATATTTGTACTAACTTATCTGGGTAAAGAGAAAGCTGTGCCTTTAAACTGTGTTTGCTGTGACTCTGGAAACTGAGCAAACAAAGTCTGAGGGAAACTTTACTCTCAAGCAGAACTGACAGGAAGGTACAAGGACTGAAGGACTGCAAACTTCTGTAGGACATACCTGCCTCTGGATTCACAACTGAACTGCAAATCTCTGACTGCTTGGGGGAGCTTAGCTCAGACTTTTTGGATGTACCTCATCCCGATGGCAAATGAGAGACTGGTTCAGCCCCTGAGTGTCAGGTAAGTAAATTCCTGTTCTGGGGGGATACTGAAAGAGGAACAAAACCTCAGGCCACAAACAAAGGCACAAACCCAGTGCCCAGGAAAGAACTGACTTTGCTGTACAAGCAAAGCCACTCTGAAGGAGTTCTGTGATAGCCAGGAGAGCACAGCTGTGACACTGTTGAAATACTGGCTGACAGAGAGGAGAGACACCACTGGCACAACTTGACAGGCAGCAAACCCGTCGCAGGGAGGGAGCGTGGTCAGAGCCTGCACAGAGCGGCATTAATGTGACCAACTAAACAGCAAACACCCCCAAACCAGCCAACCAAACCGTGGCTTTTACCAGGGACAGGGCAAGTGGTGATTTTTCCTGGCAACCGTTTATGTGTGATCTTGCTTTAAAAAAATATACAAATGAAGACAGGAAATGTGCAAAACAGCTTGTTTTCCTCTTAACTCCAGGTTGATCCTTCCCGTTAGCCGATCTTTCCTTTCACTCTCAGGAGACCAATTGCTATGAATCCAGTGTGGCTGTGAACTGTCCCAGCAATTACGTATATTTTTAAATGCACAAAGTAAACAAGGACTCAGATTTCATAGAACAAGACAGCTCTTGAGATCCTAAACTATCAATGGATTCCACCATTATAGTGGAGCTGTCCCCTCCAGATCTAGTTGAAAGCAGGAAATTGCACTAAAATAATGAAGAGTATTTTAAATTCTTTGCTGACCCTGCAAAAAAGTACTAATTGGCTGACATCTATTTTAAGAGATGGACAGAAATTTTATTCAGGGCTGATTTTTTCCAGATTCAAATTGGGACTGATAAATCCAATCCACTTTAAGACCAACTGTAAATACAGGAGTATGTGTGAAACACTGCAGTAACTGCCAGAAAAGAAGAGCCCAGAGATAAAGAAGCCATTGTCCCACACTGTTGAAATTTGGAGAGGACATTTGCAAGACAATATAAAATTCTTTGAGTATAAAATTACCATCATCTCTCCCTGAGTATGTGGCCAGTGCCTGGGGTTTTCACTCAGATTTTCCTTTTGAAAGTAGCTTGTTCTATGATTTCTACAGGCAATTATCATTTTTCCCCCAGTAGTGCCTGGAGGAAATATTTCATGTTTCCAAGCAGCACCCCATGGAAGCTGCCCCATTAGACCTAAAATAAGGAAAACTGACAAGACTCAGTAAAGCCTAAAACAATCTGGAAATGGCATCTCCTCCCTGCCTTGTCTTTCCTATCCAAAATCATCTTTCAAACAGATGTCTGTGAAAAACAGGTCAAGCAGGTTACTCGATGTGCAAAACTTGCACTTTGCTGTTCCAAAAGGGAGCAATTCCTAAATCAAGAACCCTTTTTTAGGAAAAGTTGCAGCCAGTTCAAATGAAACTGAGGAAGAACAACAGGGACACTGAGGAATTACTAATCTAGAAAAAATGCCTGCTTTTCACCTGGGAACTGAAATGTATAAAGCATCAAATGAAAAATAACCAAAAAAGAATAATCAAAATGGTTCATTTTTTCCTTTAATTATAGTATTGTCCAGGGCCCTTTGAACACATTAAGCAATCTCATGTCATGCTCTTCTACTTACATGAAGCTCCTGCTCAAGTAACTCAGAAGAAAAAAGGCTGTGGAAGAAATGTAGGAGTCTTCACAAACTATGATACACCAATCCCTAGTCTAGAGATGGGGAACTAAGACTCAGGAACTAAGACTGCAGCAGAGCTGAAAAATTACATCTGCTCTCACAGGACCCGATCCTGGATCCCATGGGATTCACTGCCCCCATCCCAGCCTTCCTCTTTCTGTGCTTAAAAACTGGGGATGAAGAGGAGGGTAACAAGGGCTGTTAGAAGGAAAGATCCAACAGGGAAAGGTCTGCCAGTCTTTCCTAGCACTTGGGTGGAGTGAGCTACAGAGTTCTGGTTGCAGACACACTCACTTGGCCCAAAGCTGGAGAGTCCCTGTGGATGCACATGCAGCTGGAGCACTCCCATAGCCCCTGTTCTCAGCAGGGCTGTGCTGGCCAGGGCTGGAGTTGGGGGAGGGTTGGGTGGGATTGCCTAAGCCTTGAGCCAGTCCCTCAGAACTAGGAGAGAAGGAGCTTTGGTCCTGAGAGCTTCTCTTCCTGCCAGGTCCTCCCGTGGGGCCCAAAAGGAGCCCTCCTGAAGAGGAAGTTTGCATCAGCCCACGGTGTTTGCTGCACCGTTTCCAGAGTTGTGTATCAAGTGCTTTTCTGAGTTACTAAAGGCACTTGCAGGCAGAGTAACAGGCTGTAAGAATAGTATCAGTTTATGTCAGGCTTGAAATTAGCTGAAATTAGCTTGATGTAGTTGACAAGGACAGCCTGGCATAGCAGCACCCCAAACCTGCCTGGGTTTGCAAGCCAGCAGTAACCAGTCTAACAGTATTCTGGTGTCGAACTGACTTCTGGCTCCCTCACCAGCAGATTCACCAAACAGGCACTCCTTGGACCCTCCACCCAGTAACCACTGAGGGAGGAAAAACTGAGAGCTCTATGATCAACAAAATCAGCCTTCTCTTTCCCTGCTTCTGTATGAAAGCTTTCAAACAAAAAACCCTCTGAGTTCTTACCTCTCTGCAGTTCAGCCACCAACCCCTGCTCATTTCTTCCATAACAAGTGTCTCAAACACAGCCAGCAAATCTAGAAATAGAAGTGGGCATCATTATATTTTCCCCCAAGAGCAGTGCAGGTGTTGTCTGCCTAAGGGACACTGGGCCAGTCTGCTCACTAACTAGTCTGTCTTGAAAAGCTTCAGCCAAGACATCTGCTGATCCTCCTTTTCTAAGTACCCTGGCATTACTAAACCTCTCTGCCTTCAGCCAGGAATTATACCCAGGACAGTGGTTCTTGTACCACGGTTTTGACTAAACTGTTTCATTGGAGACTGTAGTTCTACACCTGAGTAACTGAGTCTCTTTAAGTGTAAGCTGTTATGTTGCATACACAGGCCATGGCCAGAAGGCTTCACATAGCTGACAGAACAAAAAGGAACGAGGACCCACAACTCCCATATGCAAGCCTGTAACACAGGGGAGATCATCAGCCAGGCTGCTGAGGGCCTCATGTGCAGACTTGCACAGTCCATTGGTGCCTTCTGCTGTGGGGCTCCATCCTGTGATTGGCACCTGAGCCCCGAGCCGATGCTTGTGTGCTCCCCCCAGCCTGGAGATGCAGAGATTTGCTTTTAATTATTCACTTTTCTTCCAGAGATAAGCCTGGAAAAGCCCATGAGTTTCAAACCACAGCTACTTAGCAACAGTTTCAGTAGACTCTTCTAAGCAGAAATAAGGAATGGGATGGCATCAGGGACAACAACATTTCATAAACAGCAGGAAAAAGGAAAGGGGTTTCCTCTAGAGCCAAGAGTTCTTGTTAGTAGAGAGATATGTCAGTGATGTCAGAGGAACAGGATGGGCTTTATCCATTTCACTTCCCAGGACTCTCTCAAAATCTTCAAGCAAAGATGTACTTTCAACATTGCATGTGTAATAATTTAAGGAAAGGAATAGAAATAAGGTCAGATTTTAGTCTAATTAGTTCTAAGAGCTTATAATAAACCCCAGAAAGGCTTGCAGATTTCCACTTCTGCTCTTGTGTATGCTTTGCAAATGAGGCTGGCTCCTCACAGAGGGAGAGCACGTGTGTGTTTGTGTATGCATAGATATAAACATACACACACATGTAGAATAGCTCCAGAGGGGGAGCTCTTTAACATCTTAGCCATAGCCCATGGCTACATCTACTACATGAGACCCAGGGGATGAAGCATGGAATTTAATGGGATAGGGCAGGATCACTCTCTGAGATGTGTGATTTGATCAGAGGTGGCAATTATTACTGGCACACAGGAAAGCACATCTTTTTAAATAATTGATTTTGAATTGCAAAGACTCAGTAAATAGTCAAAAAGAGAAATCATGCTGCAGCAGAATATACAGTTATCTGGTGTTATTTTTAAGCATATATTGAGATATATTAATTAACACAAAGTAGCTGCTATAAATAGCCCACATTTCGCACAGAGGGAACTGTGGGAAGGCACATATCCTCTTCTGTTGTTAAGTACCCAGTGTAGGACACGCTCATTTTGTGTCCATGTTTACACATGTATGCTTACCTCTATCCAGAAACCTTCCCACAATGCCTGATTTAATTCTGGAAACATTTTTAGGTCCAGCGAGACCATGTGAGTAATTTTTAGCCATTTTACATGTACTGTTTCTCCCTCCAAGCCCTGTTCCCTGGGTCTCATGGTGCCTAAAGCACATGGATTGGAGGCTGTATTAAATGGATCCAATGGATTTATTTTTAGTCCCTGAAGGGTTTCTAAAACAGGTTCTCTGTAACATATGTGCAAGACGTAAAGGGGTTTTTTGTCACAAGAGTGTAACGAACTGCATAATTCTGTCTTGGTTTTGCTTGCTATAAATAAGGTACCAGCACTAAATCATGGCAATAGAACCATTCTGTTAACCTTCCTCACCTGAAAGACTATCTCAAAATTGGAGTGTTGTACTTTGATTCTGTTAAGGCTGGTTAAAGAATTCAATCTTATTTGCATAATAAGAACAAAATGTTTGATTCCTGGAAACCTGTGGAGTCAAATTATTTGATATTCTTTTAGCCAGCATCCCCTGACCTAACTGTCTAGTTTTCTCTGGCTTCTGCTGCGAACCTCTTTGATCCATGTCTCACTTTTTGGTCAGTCTGTTCTCATGTTCCTCCTTTTTGTCTCCACCCCTGTGCCTTAATCAAATAATACCTTGGCCTTGTACCTAAATAATTGAAATTCCTTTGTGAAATGTCATGTAGCTTGCTTTGGACAGGGACATAGGCTTGACTGTCTCTTGCCACCACCTGATAGAAAGGGTCAAAGATTGTTAACACTTCCAAGGATGGTGATCCCGACTGGTAACAGTGAAAGCGTTAAGTGTATGTGTGGTCAGGCAGTTCAGGGCCCGGAGGGCTTTAGAGTAAGGTGTTCCCATGGCCAGCTGCCTGTGCATCCTTCCGCTGGAAGTCAGCCCCCCTGGAGCAGGGCTGGCTCAGCACCTCCCTCACAGCGGCCCAAAGTCTGAGCCTTCCCTAAACCACTGATGAGGCCAAATGAATTCACAGCTACATCTGCTGAGAGCTAAATCTGCCAGAGCCTGGGGCTGAGTCTGTGGGTGTTACTATTCCCCTGACTCAGACAGAAATATCTCCCGATGCAAACACAGGCCTGAGCCTGTGCGGCCCCCGAGCCTTGGCAGGGCCCTCCCACGTGGCACTCCTTGAGGGATGACACTCCTTGAGGGATGACACTCCTTGAGGGATCGGCACCCACAGGAGCAGGAGTGGCCCATGAGTAAGGGCTGCTGCTGGAGCTTGGACTGTGCTCCAACCTGGAACAGCTGGGTTTGCCTCATTACCAAGCAGAGTGAAAGAGTTTAGAGATGACATTTTAAATCCCAGGAAGATGGGAAAAAGTCAATGCCTAATGCATGAGCAGGGATGTAATGGGGGACTGATGGGGGTGGGAGGGAGAGGTTTGTTTTTGGTTTGCACAAGACTTTTAAAAAAGCATTTTAGAAAGAAACTGCTAAGATGCAGCTAAATCAGTATTTGCATGTGCAGTCGGACTGTATTTAAAGAAGAAATATTAAAGGAGCCATGTTATCTGTGAGGGCTTGAAGTCAAAATACTGTCTTAAAAGAGCTCCATCTGGTTCATCAAATATACATGAAAGGTGCATCCCTACATTCAGCATGCAAAACCTTCCAGATGAGTCATTAAGAGGGCTTTTATACTTGAAACAACTTCAACACATAAAAAGGAAGAAAAGATTATAAGACCTTTTGCCTTTCTATAGCATAAACCCCCTACAGCCAAAGCCAAGACAGTAATTCCTGTACTGAGCCCCAAAACTAACACACCAGTGGGTAACTCAGTGTGGGGGTTCACTGCCCTCGCTGGGTGGCCACTCAGACACATCAATACTGTTATCTTGTTCCTGTGGTGGTGAGGACACATTATACAATCTGACAAGGGCAGTTCGTCTCCGGTGACTGGATGTCCCTGTATAGGCCAACCATGCAGTCAAGTTGTGTTCACACCAGTTATTTCCTGCTTTGAAACATCCCACACAGCTGGAGATTTCAGCCTGTCTTAATATTAATTAATCAATCTTAATTACCCTTCCAGACTGGGCAACAGCATTGTTTAAGATCAGCAAATTGAGCAGTTTTCATTCCAAAATCCTTAAGCATTCTTTAACTTCCTTACCAAAGTATTTAACACTTTTCAGTCAGACAATACACCTCCCCACTTTGAAGGGGAATTAGGAATTTAACCAAGGACTGGATTCACCAGCAAGCAGAGCCACTAGTGTCATCCCACTGCACCCCTTCCACTGCAGGGTAGGCTGATTGCAGGGACCCAGATAAGTTCCCCACAAATGATTGCCTTGTGGCAGTGAAGGGGGGCGACCAGACAAAACCCTCCCAGAGACAGGGGCTGCAAGCTCAGGGCCAGCACCAGGCACAGCAGAGGAGCCCGTTATCAGGGGCCACAAATTACCAGGGGCAGCAAAGCATCCAGGATCCAGCTCAGCTGCCTGCTTGGCTGTGCTGCAGCCCTGGAGAACTGCTGCAGAGAGAGGGGTCAGGGCTGTGGAGCACCACAGTTGGCAGGGAAGGAGGTGGCTCTTTCCAGAAGCTGACAGCATGTACCCCTCCTGCCTCAGCAACAGCTGGGGCAGCCCCCCTGACTCTCTGGGGTTGCCAGCCCCCAGCAGCTCCCTCTGCCACCGGGATTGCCACCACTGGCAGACCACACAGCCTGCCCCTGCCGCACACTCTGCCCTGTCACATACCCTACCCTGCCACACAGCCTGTCACTGTCACACAGCCTGTCCCTGTCACACACTCTGCCCTGTCACACAGCCTCCCTCTGGCACGGTGCCTGCAGCTGTGCCTGCCTGGCACAGCATGGGGTGGGCAAACAGGGAGTGATGCTCAACCAGTGCTAGAATGTACCTCCTGCTTCAGACTGCCAGATCAAACTTCCCAGAATAAACCCATTTGCAGGTCTACACGGCTGCAGTCTCATTTTTCAGTCTGCATCTTCTGCTACTAAAACCATGCTTGAGTAGCTCTGATTAAAAGTCACACCTGATATGCCTTTCCTACACCTGAGAGCCTTTGAATCCCTATCACCCACTCTCTTTGCACAGCAGGGACCAGCAGTTAGTCCCATTCACAGCCAGACCACACCTTGAAAACACATCCAGTCCCACCCTGCCAGCAGTGATCCTTATTTCCTGCACACATCCACGTGTCCAGGTCCACACTGCTCTAGGAACCTCGGTCCCTTATACAGTTTTTAATTACCATTTTACCCAGCATCCCTGAGTTCAACTGTTCTTGTACAAAAGTCATGGCATTTGCTGGTAAGTGCCAGTTTTTTCCATTGGCAAGTAAAATTTCTACCCAGACAAATTCCTGGAGGCTGAATTATGTGTGAGTCAAAATGCATATCTCTGGTGTTCTGTATGTGCATCACGTGCTGTTTTCACTGTTGCCATCTTTCTGTTTTCCCTACAGACTGCTCCTTTGGTCTCCATGAACTACAGGGAAGTATGTTTACCTGCAAAGCACATCCAGGTGAGTGGGGGTGCTGCAGCCATGTGATCTCAAGGTGGCATGGGAATATACTTGGGATGGGTTACTCTGGATGCAAGGCCTGGCACTCACCTGTGATTATCAGAGGTGAACACCTTCTTAAAAAATGCCCTGCAAACAGTCAGACGGGGATTGTTATGGTCCACACCTGCCTGAGTCATTCATTTTCTGTCCCTGAATAGCTTGACTGCTGCCAGAATAATGTAATAGCAAAGTTGAATGCTATTAAACTCATCCCTAGTTTTTTGATATGCCTGAAAACTGCAAAAGCCAGGACTATTTGATATCAGTAAATGGCTTCTCGATAATTTCTTAGAGTATCAGTTTTGGAATCAGAAGCATTGCCTTCAGAGCTACATTCTGTTCTTGAACTCTTCATCGAAGAAATTAAAAAAGCAATATATATTGTTTATAACCACCTCAATAAACAAGTGTCCCCTCTGCCTCTCCTGGAAAACATGGAAGTCTTTCTCCCATCCATTGCTATATTCACTTCTGGTCAGGGATCCTGTTTGTCAGGGACTGTGCGGTAGCCTGTCAGCAAGCTGATTGTTTGGGATGGGCACCTTCACTTTTCTGATGGGCCAAAGGAGGAGTATCTGGCAAAGATAACCACACTAGTTTGACAGGGCTGCTGAACACACACTTACGTCTTTGAGCAACCCAGCTGAGTGTTGGAGGCTCCTTCTCTGCCAAGGTCCTTTATAAAAGCCCAGCAGTGACATCCAGGTACTCCTGTGTGCACCAGATAAGTGAAAGGGGAAAACAGTCTTCTTCATGCACACATGAGAATCTCTTTGCCTAATGATCCCCTTGAATATTAACATGGTTTTGAGCATGCAGCTCCTGTGAAAACTTTAACTGGTGAGCAGTTCCTGTGAAGAATTTAACTCATTGTTGAAGAAAACACCAGCAGCAATTTGCTAAGCACTGCAAACTATGTCAGTATTGCAAAGGCCACGAGAGAGACAGGTCTCTGCACCAGGCTGAATCACGTGGACAAAGGATGGCCACTCAAAGCACACAGGAAATTTGATAGAGAGGAGATTGTTACATGTTCATCTCCTCGAGAGACGAGGCATAAAACAATCTATAGAAGAGAAAGAAATCAAAAACTAGCGATTGCTGGAGTTTAGGGTTAAGAAGCTGTAATGCTAATTTTGGTCCCGTTAACAGACATCGTCCATCACAGTTGCAAGGATCAAGCCTTTGGGGCTTTAGTCTTGGGACACTAAGAGAGGCCCAGGAAAAGAAATAGCCTCTTCTTTCTTTTCAAACTGTCTCCAACAGCAGCTGGTTTTATTTTGCTATTCCACAGAAACAAGCTTAGTGAATCTTCTATGCCTCAGAGTCATTTACAAACCAAACTTAGCACCACAACCAATAAATGAGTCCTTCATACAGTTCCAGTAACACTGGAAACAGTCCCAGAGCAACCACCAGTTCCAAACAGTCCAAAAGGCTTGGCAGAATTGAAGTCAGGATCCAAATTTAGCAGTTGTGAGCTGCATGCTGTGGTTCAGGTTATGAAGGGAGAAAGCAGCTCTGTAGAGCCAGGAAGCTCATGCCCAGAGCATGATTTCAGGTAGTAACCCACCCTTTATAAGGATAAATCACAGGGCCTTTCAAAATTTTGGAAAGCAGATGATTCATAGATGATGTCCCAACCGTCCCTGATGTCCCAGGGTCAGCTGGAGTGACCCTGGGGGCAAGCAAGGGAAAGGTTTGCAGCACACATGGGATCATAGAGATTGCAGAAAACCAAGAACAAAAATTGAAATGCTCAACTTTCTGGAGTATCTTGTGTCTTGGATATACTGTAATGTAACAAATCAGTGATATGTGTAACTGCTCAAAACAGCATCTAATGACTAATCCCTAGCACCATTTTATGCCCTTCTCTCAGCCAGCTGTCAATTTTATAGTCACATTTCCTATACAGCATGTCTTTCTACTATTCATGATGGCCCCCATCAGTCACAAAATCACATTATGTACTCAGAAGGAATTTGACAGCTGTAAGAATTCAGCAGACAAAGGAGCAGCGAATGCTTAAATAATCAGTTCCCATTTTACTCACTCTTGCAAAGGCTGAAGGATCAATTTGCTGTTTTGCTGTTGGAGTGATTTGCCTCCTAAAAATGCTTGGGAGTGGTGGCACAGTCCATGTACCGACACATGGAGTAGTGGGACCCTTGTGCTGGTCCCCATGTCACTGAGGAGGCACACTGGCACTTGAGGGCAACTCTGGGAAAATAAATCAAGTCTCTGCACTACATAATCTTGTCTCTTCTGCCTTCACTTCTTGACAGTTATATGGATTTCACTTCACTTATGTGCGCGGCAGGAGTGAGCACTGTTGATAAGTATTAGAAGGCAAGCAGTAAAAGGCAATAATTCATCTATTACAGGGAGAAATACACAGATTAACAGAGCTTTCTCTTCAGCTCTTACTTTCTGTTCGGTAACAGTTTCACCCTCACAAACAAGGACGTGACCATTCACATAGCATGGAAGGACAACCATGAGCAATGTTCAGAACATTAGAATAAGGCTTGTAAGGTGATGATCTCAGAATGATCTCTGAAAAAAAGTCCTAGGAAGTCTTCATTATCCTTAACGGATGATGGACTATGGCCTCTGAACTAATCAGAACTTTGTCCTTTCTTCTCCTGTTTCGTTGTGTTTTGTTTGTCCATCTACAGCTCTTATTCAGATACAGCTGATGGGGTTGTGGAGGCTACCTGTCTCCTGCTGCTCTGCTGCTGATCCATCATCTCAGTTGCCATAGAGACAAGATCTGGAAGCCATGGATGAGCATGGGAGAGAAGCCGCCCACAGGCTCTCCGCTGGTGGGCTCTGGCAGGGCCTTTCTCGGCAGGTACTGAGAGAGTCAGGGTCGGTCTCTGAGGGTGAGGAAGAGTCAGCAGGTGCTGACCCAGTGGCTCACGAGGGGGACTTGCCAACACATTACATTGCCATCCAAAGAAATTCCAAGTACTACCGATCCATGAGGCTGCCAAACAGAGGGAAAAGAAAGGCTTCGAGAGAGGCAGTGCACATGGGGCGTGTCACAGGTGAGTACTGACCCAAACAGCATTATGCTCCCCTTTGCAGTGAGATTGGGAACTCTAGGGGTCAATGGGAATAAAAAAGGGACGGGGAAGGTAGAAAGCAGCTCAGCAGTCAGCACATTACAGAGCACCCCTGCCCCGTGGCACAGATGGCAGAGGGGTGCTATCCCTCTGTGCTCAGTATGGAAATGTGACGTGGTTGGACGTTTAAACAAGTTGTGGCAGAGAATCTAAACATATGTGGGCTCTGCACTGCCACCCCTCTGCTCTCTAAAAGAAAAATAATTTACACATTAACTTACGTGAAGCTTCCTTACATGAAGTAGGGACTTCTTTAGCATCCAGAAAGGACGTATTCCAAAGTAGTGAGAACTATACAGGTAACTGTTTGGCAAGGTGAACGATGTATAGAAAAAAGTCAGCAGAGCCAGAGGGAACTGCAATGGGCTCTTATGAGGGGGGAGCAAGGCTTCTCTGAAAGTGCCTTTACTGCCGCCTTGCACTGAAGACAGCTGTAAGAAACACCTAAGCCCCCTTTGAACTGTGAGGCTGAAATAAGAGGATCACCGTCCAGAACATATATGGATTCAGCCATGGCTTCAGTAGAAGAGGAATGAGGTGGCTTCTTCTGAGTATGGACAGTACAGTGCATGACTGCAAGGCCAGGCTGTTCACTGAGCTGGAACCTTGTCTGAGCAGCTGTCTGTGAAGAAGCAAGAGAAGGATAAGAGAAGTGAAGAGAGCCAGCAAAGGAGCTACTGCGGCACACTCAGAAGCACTGGAAACAGGGCTGCAAGGAGAAAATTTAAGTGGTTTTAATCTCAGTGCTAAATAAGAGTGAACTGAAACTGGGAACACACAAAATGCCCTTTGCTTCATCTGCCAGGTGCTCAGAGAAACTGAACTTTATAACTCCTTCACAGCAAAGATACCTATCCTACCTTCAGGGTATAATCTGACAGAATCAATGCACTGGACTCTGAACTTTGGATAGCTGCATGTGTCAAAATGATGCACCACTACTGATGTTCAAGCCTGAAAGCTATTGCTTTGTTATGCAGCAGTAAAGCCACCGCTTCAGCCCCTGAAAGTAGACCGAGTCCTTTAAGAAAACAAAGAACAAACATCCTCCACCCCAAAATAGGTTTGGGAAATGTCCCCAAGAAAATAGGTGTCTCTGCCTGCCTTGCCAAGGGAACCATGCTGTTCCAGCAGTATAAAGGCCCATTCAACCCTGTGGCATGGACAGGAGGAAAGTTCCCTCCCTTTTCCAAGTTTCCAAGCAGACAGCAGCATAGCAAAGAGCTCCTGTTTAATATTCTGCTACTGTTGCAATGAGGTTTGTGGAGAAACTGAGTGTCGCCGCTCTCCACCCTGCGGGTGCAGACAGGACCCGAGCAGAGCCATCCTCTCCCCGCCTCCCTAGCAGGGCTGCAGAGCGGGCACAGCGCGGACTCGCCCTGCCTGCTGCTCGCCGGTGGCACAGCGTCCCAGGGCTGTGAGGAGGCCTCACCCCTGCGACCTGCTGCTGCCACTGCAGCCGCACCAGCACAGGAGGACGCGCCTTCTCCAGACACCCGCAGCGACACGGCATCGGGACAGCGGCTCGGGAGGACATCCCTCATGTCTGGCCAGTGACATTGAGGAAGGGCAAGCTAAAAGAAGGGCTTCTCTCTTGGCAGCTCCTGAGAGCATCCACAGGGGCTGGCCTGCGCTTCTCTCCCACCCCCTCCCGGTGTTACTGCTGCTGAAACAGGATCGCTTCCAAACAGGGCTTTTCCTTCCATACCTGCAATTGTTCAGCAAGACACACTGGGAACGTTCTTTTTCTCCATCTGTACTGCAAGACCTGGGCTAGGAGCACTAGCTCTTCCTCCAGGGTGACTGTAGCAAGTCCACCTCAGACTTTCAAATTCAGCTAGGACTGTGTGAACAGCTCTTCTACTCTCTCCCTCTACTTCACTGGTTCCATCCCCTCTCCCCGAAACTGGACAGCGCGTGCTTCTTCACCAGCCTCATTTGTAGCAGGAACTTCTGACAGCATTTGCTGACGTGCATGGAAGCAAGGGATGGGTGAGCTATTTTATCTTGCCTTCCAACCCATTTGAACAGCAGCTATCCAAGAATATGACTCAAGCTCAAATGTTAACCTGTTCTCATTCTGCTTAGGGAATGACTGGAGGGGAGAAGGAAAGAAGAGAGGGAAAGATATAGGGGAAAAGACGAAGTAGGATACAAAATGAGAAAACTAAAGACTCAGAAGATCAGATCACAAAAAAAAAAAAAAAAACAATTTAAAATAATCTAAATTCAGCAGAGGGAAAGGTTTTTATATAGGCACTCTTTGCACCAGCCCAGCTTTGGCTTATAGCCTAGGAGCTGTAAAACATAATAGATGTTTTCCTTTAACTGGAAAAAGCAGTTGTTGGGGGTTTTTTTAAGCAATCTCCTCGGACAGAAGGATAAAGTGTTTAAACTATTCAAAGTGAGTAACTCAAACTACTTTTTCATAAGCCCTTGGCACTAGTTTAGCAAGCTTTAAAATTCTGGATGTCACCCATTCCCTCTGAAAACTGATTAAAAGGGTGCATCAGAAACCAGCCTCAGAGCATTGACCTGACTGACTGTGCTGTCACCAGTTTGAAATGCAAACAGAATTATGACTTAGACCAAAATATTTCTAATAAAAAACAACAAGGCCATATATCAACAAGCCTCAAACAACAGGAGGTTTCATTTGAAAAGTGAGATGCATCCTCTCCTGCCAAGTACTACAGTTGTAAGCCATGGACTTAATACAACTTTGGCTGCCTGTGAAGGGATCAGAGGTTCATCTGAGGGAAACTGGAGAAGCAATTAAAAGTAAAGCTCCTGTTTCGCCCAAATCTAACCTTGATTTATCCAGTAAACTGAACATCTACTGTGTGCCTGAAAGCAGAGCAGTAATGAAGCCTTGACTTGGGAAACCAAATATTGGCATGCACAGGCACACACAGATAAACCTTTTCTGCTCGGTGGATTGCACTGAAAATCACTCATGTTGGGACCACTTTGCAGTGGTGAGAGTGCTACTCACATAGGTAAGAACTGACACCGTATCTCCAGCTTCACCTTTTCTCAGTTCTGACATAGGCTGTACCATCTTGCACTGTGCAAGCTAATGACACTTTGACCTTGTTTGAAAATCAAAGCTAAAATGTAACCACCTTTGTGTCTGTGGTCTTTCTGTTGCCTTTGGTGTAAGCAAACAACTACCTACAGTAAAAGTAAATTAAAAAAATAACTGTTTTAACACCCTCTTGGCTTTCTCTTATGTCACAGGTTCACTCAAAAACAATGAACCTGTCAAAGAACCTCTGAATGTTTTATCTCATAAGGGATCAGCATCTCCAGCAAACTCTGATAAGACAACGTTAGATGAAGTGTGGATCCAAAGGTAAGAAGGTTCCCACTCAGGGAATTCACTGTGCCTCCACTGAAAATTGCAGTCAGAGTGGTTTCAGATCTGGAATGCTTGTGTGGGGAAGGACAGCTGGACAAACTGTAGCTCTGATCCCTGCCTTCTCACCGTGACTTGTGGTGCTGCTTTCAGTCTTAATGATACATGTTGGTTAGTATTACTGTCACAGTATAAAGGGCCTTGTCAGTATGGGTCTGGAGAAGGCAGTGAAGGAAAAAGAGGGAACAAGAAGACAGTAGGGAAGGTGGGAAAAGGGGAATGTGATGCAGATTCATCCAGAGGTATAAGCGAAGTAGGCAAACTGCCTTAAGCAGCTTGTTAAGAGAATAAGGAGAGCCTGTGGGCATTTCGTTATGGAACATCCCAACATCAGGGTGATCCCATTCTTGGCCTTCATAGAGAGCTCTCCTGAAGCCTGTTGTACAACCCCACATAGAAATCAGGATTTTATAGCTGAAGAAGTAGCTACAAAGATGTTTTCTGAAGTATTCTGACTTTCTGTTTGCTGTTAACTTTGAAGAACTGAGAAGCCACAGAGGCTTTCAGTGAGGGAGCCCTTTTTGGTTTAAATGCCTCAACAACCAATGTCCAGGAAAAGGCCCTGATCCCACAATCTGTAAAGGTACATACATCCCATAAATCTACCCTCACCCTTGCTCTATTGCCGCTGCAGCAAGAGAGAGGAGCAGCTACCTAGCCTTACATTTTCATGTATGACTGAGGTATTCTCCCAAACTCCCTCCCCAGCTCCTCACCTCTGATGTGTACAGCTGTGAGACAGTCCCTGCTGCTACTGTAGATGATTAGGCTGGAAGCAATAGGCCCCTGTCCTCTAAGGGTGCATGCATCCTACTGCAGCTTCTGGTCCTGCTCAGTGACACCAGCTGTGTTGTTGCAATGCCTAGTGCATTCCCAGGCACCTTTCCTTATGGAGAGGACTCCAGTAAAACAATTTTAGCCAAATGTCAAGTTGGGTTTAAATAAATTAATTGCCTTGGCTAAAACTGATTGCCCTTTGGCCATAAATTGAGCAGATGAAACTAGACAGCCACAGTCTGCTGTGATGTCAAACCCATCTGTCTTCCTCTCCTTACGGCATAATCATCACGGTCAGTGTCTGGCATCCTGACACCGGCACTTACACAGCTCTGAAATGTGCAAATCCTCATTCTCCCTGGAGCTGGAAATGAGGAGCCTGTGCTGGGACTCAGTTTTATCAAAGATGCTGCTGTGCAGAGCTTGACACGTCAGTACAGGTTCTAAGTCATGTGTCTGCTGAAAGCAGGCAGTGCTGCTGAGCAGCATCGATGGTCTCTTGAAACTGAGCACAGAGATTTGACAGAGAATGAGACCAGAGTTCCAGCTCAAACTCAAGCCATGTCCTCTACCCTTTTCCAAAGATCAACTGTAATTTATGACAGAACCAAGGGAGACTAGAAATCTGCACTGGGGAAGCCTGCAGGAGCCTAAGAATGTTACCATTTCTTACAGTAATCCCTATTATCTCCCTTCTATTGGAAAAGAAGGCCATTATGCAGATAAGACATCAAAAATATTATCACTGGTCTCAAGACATGCATTTAATCTCTCCCCAAAAGAATAAATCAGAAGAATAAAGCATTCTTCTGAAAGCAGAACTGGCAGTTCTGCATAAGGGACAGTGCAGGCACCTATGACCAGCTCTGGAGAGCTCCATGGAGTTCTCAGGAGTGAACCACGCCAAGGGCAGGTGGAGCATCAGTGCTGCATCTCTTCAGAGTCAGCAGCATCCCACAGCAACCTTCTAAATGCTGGGGCTGGGCAGGCACAGTCCCTTCTCCTTGCATGAAGATAACTAGCAGGTCTAACACAAATGAGCTCTTCACTGGCAGGGATGTCACTTCACATACAGCCAGGCTGCATAATTCAGGGCAGGAGGTAAACACAGCTGGGGAACATAGTAAACAGCTCAGGAAAAGGAATTGTCATGTACATTGTACTCAGAGGGGATACAGTCTTTGATTCTAATCTGCGTGTCTTGCAAAGCTCTGAGAGTAGTGGAGTAATTCAGTGATCTCAGAACAATGATGTTTGAAAACGAGATGTCCTCAAGCATTATTGCTGGTGTTCCAAAATCTGCCATGCACCCTCCATAAGAGCATTTTTATGCTCAAGTGGCTCTTTCCCCATGACCTTTTTCCTGTGCCATCTCCAGCTCCCCCTAAGCTCTCTAGAGTTCTCCACAACACCCCAGGGCTCCCTCTCAGGTTTCCACATTGTACAAAGATCCAAAGCCCCACCATGACGAGCTGCTTCCCAACACCAGACCTGCCCTGAGCTCCCAGCACAACCCCTGCTTTCCAGAGCAACCCGAGCCAAGGCCCTAGAAGGAACCAAACTCAACAAAAACTGCTCTTGCCCACTGTGATCTGTTCTGCCAGCTCCCCAGTGCCAGCAGTTGTGCAGACTGAGATCACAGAGGGAAACATCCACCCAGAGTGTCCATCCACAACTGCCAGCTGAAAGCAGCTCCCACAGAGACCAGAAAATTACGCGTTGCAGACCCTAGAAAGGAGATTCACTGACCAGTGTCTACCTTATATTGCCAGCTAATAGGATGTTCACTTCTCTCCCTTTCTAGTACAATACAGATATTTAGCAGCATGACTGCATTATTTATCTACCATTTCCCACCGAGTCAGATTCCAAGAATGATATGTTTTTATTATGGGCCGCTAGGTACATTGGAAGAGAAATTCAGTGTGACATTTCAGTTTGCAAAGCTCATGGAGAGATCACGGGGCTCCCAGTGCAGAGCAAACTGTTTCTTTATGCTGCTTATGACATCTCCAATTCGAGAAACAAGGGTCATCTAAAAATCATTTGATTGTGTTTGATCTGAGCTCAAAGAATGGAAGTACTACAAGAGAGAATACAACTAGTCACCTTCAGCAGCAAAATGGAATCCAGCTTATTTGAATTCATGCAAACACATATTAGAGAGGAGCAGTACACATGTGAAACAGCACAGCACTCTGAAAGGTGCTCGTGTGAGTGTGGGTTACTATCCCTTAGCCCAGCACTCTTGGTCCTGGGCAGCAGAGGGCACTGCTTTTATAGCCTGATTTAACCAGAAAAGCAGGGAAAACCTTTGGAGAGGCTTGGAGCTGGATTGCAAAAGGCCTTAGAAACTCATGCAGTTTTCTTCTAATTATGAAATTTATTTATTTATTTCTTATAATCGGTTCTTCTCTGTGCTGCCAGTGGTGCTTCAATATGCAAGTGGTAAAGTCAGCAATAGCTGGTGCAAACACCTCTTGACCAAATCCTTAAATTTTGTTGCTCTTCAACAACGTTTTGCTCTTTTAGAGGTAAATAAAGACTTTTTTTCCCCCTATCCCTTTCTGATCCCAGACTGCATCTTAAAAAGTCTAAGGGTAACTGCATTTGCAGGGAGAAGTATTTTAAAAATTAGTAAATTTCCAGTAAAAATAGCCACTGTAGGTATTAAAATGTCATTAATGCCATCATCTCAAATCTCACAGGATCACACAGAATAGCAAGCAGTAACATACACAGTTCTAATGAAGCATCCTTCCAGCATGCAGCTGATGGATCCCAATCCCAGTCTGCCCCCCTATTGCACACAGTCCCTGCTTGCCTTGAGTTGGTCATGTTTTCATTACTGTGCAAGGTGTAGGCTTTGCCCTGCATGTCTCCCAGTCTGATCTGCTTCAGCTGGACTCCTCAGCTCCTCAGTCAGTCTCTTTGTTTCACTCCTTCTCTGTCAGCTTCGGCTTGTAATTCCCCACACAATTTCCTCAGCCTGCTATTTCTCAGGCATCTTAGTCCTCTCTCTTCCCTGCTGCAGCTCATATCTCAGCGTCCTGTTGTTCTCCAGGCTCTTCACCCTTTGGCTGCTCATACAATCTTAGTATCCCACCCCTCCTCCGAGCTCCACTGCCAAGTTTTACAGCCTTTTCCAACTCACCACTTCCTGAAGCCTCCAGCTGTGCCTGAGTTCCTCTCTTCATAGCAGTCTCCTGGTCCAGAAGTAGAGCTCTTCCTCCCCATGCTTGAGTCTTGCCCCTTCTGGTTCTCATCATGCTGACTGGATCCAGCACTGAGGATAGGGAAGAAAGGTCTTTATTTGTATGTTTATGTATTTATTTGTAAATATTTATTTATACCTGAAGAGGCCTTCATTCACAGCACCTACAACTGGACCAGGCAGCTCTTATAGCCACAGTATCAGAAATGATCCTCTCAGCCCTCAGCAGAGGACATGTCCTCTCCATGGGCAGCAGCTCAGGGATTTTAGGTGCTAAAATCTAAGTCTGAAGCTCGTGTGTATTGCAGAGAGTGGAAAAGGGCTTATAATTCTATGGATTTTCTTAAGTCTGGCAAAAACACAATCCTGGAAAGTCCCAAAATTTCAACTTGTGTATCAACAGAAACCACAGCTTCTGGAAGGACAGAACAACAGGTTTTCTGTTTTTCTTTCGTAGGGATCCAATAATATTTTCCCAAGTCTAATAAATTGTTAACTGCTTTTAATATATAAAAAATAACTTGTCAATGGCAAAGGGTCAATAAGTAAAAATGTAACCCTGATGATTATGAGCACCAAAAGGTTAAAAGTACCTAAAGGTAAGGATCTTATAAATGAAATTTCTGAACATTTTTAGTTATTGGTAAGCCCCAACAGATATAACTGAAGTACTTTGATGAGAGCTTAAGGAGGTTCAGCAGAACAGATATGCTCTTATCCCTTAGGATCTAAAAATACTAGGGATGAGGAGTTCTGCTTATCTACCATTAAAAAGTCATAAATCAGGAACAAAAACTTCACAGACACACCCATTGCCAAAATCACTGCTAAAAACCATACATGAACAGAGGGAACCTGAATGAACCTGAGGTATGAAAATATCCTTGTCTAGGTATAACATTATTCAAATCTATTATTAACTTCACACTTCTCCATAAATTTGGTTAGTTCAGATTAAAACAGTGCTTCTTACCTCATCTCGTGGCCTTTCTTGGTGTGAAACTCCCACTGACTAGAAGGGTTTGGGGAATTTTTCATGAATAAGATTTGCTGGACTGCCTCTTCTCTATTTAGTTTCTAGAAGAGAAGGTCTCATTTCTAAAAATTGCTATAAGAGAACATTTTAAAAATTCATTTCAATTTAGTTTGAAAACAAGCTCTTTGCACAGCTTTATTCTAAGGATTGCTTTTGAGTTGAAATGCACATAATAAATCTTAATTCAAATGATTACTCATTTTTCAAAATTACTAGTGCCTGAAAATACAAACCAAGATTGGAAATCCATCCCCCAAGCATAACTTAAATGAGATAATGGAAATAAACTAATTATAAACTCACACCAATTATCACATTTTAACATAACCATGGACCAGGTCAGCCAACATTTAAAATCCTTTCTGACAGCAGTACAGTGAAGCTGGGAACAGTCTGTAAGCACATGAACCCCTTCCCCGCAGAACAGACGCGAGCTCAGACCCACTCCCCTTTGCCCACGGGGGGCTGAGCCACGGGGCTGCTTCGTGGCCATAGAGCACAGCCAGCAGGGAGCATTTCCAGTGCCTGTGTGCTTCGGGACCCTGAGGATTCCAGAGACAGAACTGCAGTTTGGTCCGTTGGAGCACTGTGGGACTTCTGTCACCAACAAGAGCACAGGGCACGCAGCACTGCTTGTGCAGTGCCGGGGTAGGGTTTTCAACCAGTTGCTTCGTTGTTCTAGTAGTCAGATTCTTTCTTTCCCCCTACGACTGGACAGGGAATTTTAGGATGAATTAAAGGGATTTTGGTGAGAAAACTGGTTTGTCATCAGGAGATTGTACTGATTTTGATAACTGGGGGAAAGCTTTTTAGGCTCGGCATCAAATTCTTTATTCTGACAGTGAGAGAAAAAAAAAAACCTCCTCCAAACTCCTACCCGATGGTTAAGATTAGGTGGAGTAGGAACTTCTCAGGGCTGAGCCTGCTGTTCCACAGCAATGTAAAAGGATCCCGGGTGGCAGTGCCACGGTCCTGCCATCCATCTGCACATCTGCCACCTCTGCTGTGCTGGCACTCGCTTTGGGCTCACCCTGTAGTGACACCATACACACAAATCTGGTTCTACCAAAAAAATGAATCATCTTCTATGAGTTTAGCTGCCCAAACCTGTTCACTGAGAACGAGACAAACTTGGGTGAGTGCTGGCAGAACAGCAGAGGTAGAAATCTGCCTCAGGGGGTCAAGTGAGAAGTGGAATTGAGCAGCTAGGTCAGCTTAAACTGCACACAAAGTCCTAGCAGCTGTGGAACTAGGGAGGAAGAAAGGGGCAGTTCTGTTGGAGCTGCTCCAAATAAATAGTTCAGTATTAATGATTTCAAGTGGTATTTGGTGAATTAGCATTCGCCAAGTTGAAGCACCTTTCCCAGTGACCAGAGAAAGCAGAGCAGCTGCAGGAAGAGAGACTGACTTGTCCTGGAACAGGCATGTGGGATGTGAGGGAATGACACAGCTGTGACTCTGACCTGGATCCTCCACCACCAGCATGAATATCCCGGTCACCAGACCACTGTGACAGAATCACTTGATTGCCTGCCTTTAGTTTGCATGACAAACTTTAAAAGCTTTGTTTTGTCTCCAAACAGAAAAGCACGATTTAGAAAACCCCAGGACATTTTGTAGGACAAAAATATCTCCATCTTGATAAATATCATTTTTTATTCCAGTCCCAAGAGCCCTGGGAACACTCTGTCACTTCACTTGAGAGAAAAAGTATTTCTCACGCACTTGTTCTGTTTATGGACATCCTCTGCATGTCAACATAAAGTACAAGAATAAAGCTGGAAAGGAAGAAAGAACAACATCTTTGAAAGACCAAATTGCAATTCAGAAAGGAAAAAGTCCTAAAGGAAGGAAAAGTAGAGTAATGGTCATTGCTACACAGTGGAAGAGCTCTCTGAGACAGGAACATACAAGCTGCGGCCTCCCATGGCCACAGGGGGCATTTCACTCGCAGTTGCTCTCACCTCTTCAGAGCTTCCGATGTTTTTATTATCATTAGTACTTCCAGTGATATTTTCAGATTTTTATCTTGGACCAAAAGTGATATTATGTTGGGAAAAAAAATGAAGGAAATGGAAGACAGGCAGGATCAAATTTCAAGACAGTTATAGGATCATGAAAAGATGCTTTCTATTTCTGCAAGTTTTTCACAGCATGACCCAGACACTTTCTCTAAAAAGAAATTTCAATTTGCAACAGATTTAACCTTGGGAGTAAAGCAATGTGAGGGGTTAGAATCTGTTAAACTCTTAAAGCATACTTCTGAAAGAATTTTTTTTCTTAGTAAATACACTCAAAAGTATATTCAGATATATATTCATCCTAGCAGTGTCAGTAAGAGCTTATGCACTGATTTCCCTTTGCCTATGAGAGAGAACTCCCCACTGCTCTTGGCCCTTTCGTTTAGAAAACAGTAAACAACATATCTGGTTTTCCAGATTTCAGGATAACTAAAGATCACTTCTTTTCTAAGAAAGAAGCTTTTTAGCATCCCACCCACTCACTAAAACCCTTGACAATATTCTTGCCCTGGCAGCAAGCCACCAAAACATCAGTCGTTAGGCAGTCTCTGGCGCTTTATCCCTTCCACAAGGTTTTAGCCGCCCCCTCGCTCACCTCTCTCCCTAAACCCCTAATCCCCAGCGTTTAATGGCTGATAACCCACTTTCATCCCATATTGACCATCTACACAGTGACAATCTCAGCCCCAGCTCTCAGGCTCTCCTCCTCCTCCTCTCTAAGCACAAAGCAGGCTCCAGCTCTCCCCCTCACCCTGGTATTTCCTTTCGGTTTTCTGGTGCTTCCAACCTCCTGCTCCGGGACTGGACATGAACCGGACTCAACAGCCTTCTCTGAGCCTTCAATGACATTTCCAGCTGTTTTTCTTTCACATTCTGCTTCTCAGTGACCTAATGACTGAGCTCTCCAGTGTGCCAGATCTAGATCTAGTTCACATAAGCTGAAGGACTTTTTCTGGACATACCATCATGTACTGATTAGAAGCTATCCTGCTATATGATTTAGCAAAAGCAATAAAAAAATGTTAAAAAGGAAACCATTTTACACATACAGACCAATACACAGATTTTATGCTGTTACATAAATTACCTTACCATGTACAGAAAAATCACAGTTATTTATGAAACAGGGAGAAAGCTCTGAGCACAAGGAATAGCTGAGCACTTTCCCTCTATTAACTCCTCAGTTGCAATGTGGTGCAGACGACGATTTTTTTACTGAGAGTTATTAACGTGTAGGGAAGAGCTGCACCCAAACTGTCCACAAGCACTCCAACTGAGCCGAGGGTGTAACCGTACTCTGGAGCTCAAGAGGATTTATCCCTGAGGCGGAAAAACAATTACCTGAACGAAGACAGATATAGATCATTGAGTACCAAGATACTTACTGCCTAAACGAGGCAATATATCCTTATGGAAGTAGCGACGCTAAGGAAAGGGAGACGGGAGAAATGAGCGAGCGGGTGCGAAGCCCCGCCGGAGGAGGAGAGGCGGATAGCGGCCAATCCTGTGGGGTAATCAGGGGTGCACTTCCCGGCAGGAGGGATTAGGCTGAGTTTCCCAGTTACGTTCCTCCATCTCAGGGTTTCGCCCCTGGAGAAGAAATGCACCATATGCACCAGATCTGGAAGCAGTTCAGGAGAGCCCCCCTCTCCCACCCCTTTTTCTCCCTCAAAGCCGGCGCCAGGCGCACATAGGCAGAGGTGCCGGGGATGGGGGGCAGCGCTGCGCCCCGGGGCTGAGGAAGGACAGGTCAGTGCCAGGGCAGGACCCCTGCCCGCTGTGGGGTGGCCGTGCATGGAGAAAAAGGGCTGGGGCCGGTGCATGGGGTGGGATGGGGTGTGTGGGTGCTCTCTGGAGGAGGGTGCCTTGCTGGGGAGGAAGGGAGGGGATGGAAAAGGGGCTTCCCTGCATCTGAGGAAGCAACCTCTCTGCAGGAGCGCAGGGGGGATGGAGGTAGGGGTGCCTGTGAAGGTGGGGGGGCCCTGGGGAAGGGATTGCTGCCTTTTGGGGGGGCCCCTGGGGAGGAGGGAGTCATCCTCCCGGCGGAGGAGGGACCTGTGCTGGAGCGCTGGAGGGGAGCCGGGGGGCTGAGGAGGTCTCTGCGGGCAGGGGTGCCGGGCCTGGGCTGGGGGCTCTGAGAGGGGAGCAACGACACGTGAGGGGTCTGTGGGGGCTCGGAAAAGATTTTGGAGGCGCTGAAAGGGTCTGCAGAGGGGGCTCTGAGAGGCTGGGGGGGAACTCTGGGGTCAGGTGAGCGCTCAGAGGGCTGAGTTTGAGGGGCTCTGAGGGAGCGGGGCTGGGAATTTTGCCGGACTCTGAGGGGTCTCGGGAGGGATTTGGGGAAGGCTGAGGGAGCTCCGCTGGGATTTGGCAGAGCTCTGTGGAGCCTCGGAGCAAATCTGGGAACGAGGAGAGGGGCTGCAAGGGGCTAGGAAGGCTCTGAGGGGGTTGCGGGAGCCCGAGAGGAGACTCTGAGGGGAGTTTGAGGGGGTCTCTGTGAGGAAAATCTGTGAGGAGGTTCTGAGGGGGGGTCTGAGGGGAGGCTCTGAGGGAGCTGCGTGGGGGTTTTGGCGGGAGAGCCAGAGGGGGTCGCTGAAGAGGTTTCGGAAGGCTCTGAGGGGATTTTGGTGGAGAGCC